ATCATCCAGCATACAAGTACTGTAAGTGCTGTTATTCCGAAGTAGGGAATGAGTCAAGCAGTACACTATAATTTCCTCTTGTGTAAATGGAGTGGCTGTTTTAGAACCAATGAATGGTGTAGATGCATTTGTTAGGTCCGATACAATAGAGCAGGACAGCTTGTCACTGCTATAAAAACCTCAATAAAGAGGGAATTCTTTGTTTACTGTTGATATCAGTGGCATGTCAGAAATCTGACAGCCCACACGCAATCATTTTATGTTAAATTCCACCAGCGCTAGTGTTTGATAAAAACTGCTTCTACAGACAAACATACAGTATCTGATGCTGTGACGTGGTTGGCCTGTGAGAACAATGCTTTGGGCCTGCCAGCTACAGATGTCAGACCTGCATGTTGTGGTGTTTCCCCTGTAAACACCACAACAGAAACAACAGGCTCAGGCACAGGTGAGATTCAGCAAATGAGTTTGAAATGTCAAATGTATCCGATAAAATGTCAAAGAGCTGTATAGAGATGAGATTTTTTTTTTTTTTTTAAAGGAGAGAAAGAAGTGTTATTAAAAAAAAAAAAAAAAAAAAAAAAAAAAGTTCACCACAGCCGCCGCTTTTCCCCTCTGACATCAGGTTAATTATAGAAGCTGCTTTTCAGGAGATGATTGGAAAAGACTGTGTGTGAGCTCCTCAGCATAGCAGGAGCAAGTCAGTGGTAGCAACATAGAAATGTACTTTATATGCTCTATGAGGAGGTTTTATAGAGCACGCAGCTTCACATTAATAGTTAAGTTAGGCCTACTCTAAGAGACTGCTGTAGTTTTAAAATGTGGCTTCTCCAGAGGAGGGTAGCACGCTCATATGTCTCCTGCTCAGATTGTAAAGCAAGATCAAGAGGTTTTCTGCCTCCAACTGTAAAATATAAAAACATGTCATCTTGTAATATTGGACCAGAAACAGGCTCCTGCTTTTTTTTTTGAAGAAGAAGAAGAAGAAGAAGAAGAAATCCAGACTGTTGGAAAAAAAATGCTTTTACTGTATGTTTGTTGAGATTTCTTTTAATAGCCTGAAATGTTTCATTCTTCCAATCCCCCACATGTTTATATATTATGATCTAAGTGTGCGTGTATTTGCTATGATAACATGGTAGAGGTGCAGCGGGGAGCTGCAGGCGATGGAAAAGGAGAATATCCATTACATAAGAGATTAAACTGAAGGAATTTGAGGTATGTATCCAACAACGCTGGCCAATAATATGAAAGCCTACTTCGTGAGCCCCCCTATGTACAGCGCCTCAGCGGGTAGGTCCACTGTTTATCCCTTTGATGTGAGCTTGTAAAAGGGGGAACAAACACATAGCGTGGCACCGCAGTGTAAACTCATGTACTGTTATTAGACATCGCTTTTTGTTTTAACTTTGACTCCAAGCCACAGTGACGGAGGCCCTGTGTCTGCACAAGACAGCGACAGGGACAGAGAGACAGGCAACTGACGGACAGAGGTAGAACAGAGAGAGAGAGAGAGATCTGATTTCTGATGTCACAGTGAGCTTCCATGAGTTCTGTGCAAACTCTAAACAAGCGGCGCAGGCCTGTAGACGACTGTGCACAGTCACCAGCCTTGTTGTTATTACATATCATGCCACCCGCTGCTTTTACTCAACCACACTATTCTAATGGGCCGCTGCTATTCCTGCTGCACTTCATTACAACAAACAGGAGAGTCGGAGAGAGAGAGAGGATTACCGTTGTTTTGTTCAACTCTCACTGTTTGGGGGTAGAGGAATGTTTCAGAGTTGCTCAGTCCCCCCACCCCAGCCCCCCAACCCTCCCACCGGCCACCCTACTCCACTCGCCCCCCCCCCCCTCTGTGTGTTTCATCCATCCACGTGCTGCACATACTCAACTGACACACACACGCACATATCATGATGAGGACAGTCACTTCCCAAATGCCCCCCAACACACACACACACACGCACACACACACACGTCCTCTCTTTCTATCTATACTGGAAGAATGTGTAACGCATGTTCTCTTCCCTGCTTCTCACTTTGTAGTCATCTGTAGGAAGAGCTGTTTTGTTTTGGTTTTTTTTTGTTTTTTTCATCTGCTTGCTCAGATGTGTATGTGACACACATCTGTTGCTTTAGCTGGAGGCGGAGAGAGCAGGAGAGAGGATTGAGGCTCACACTTAAACCATTAGCATACGCTCAGAGGAATGGAAGGGGAGATAAGGGAGAGGTGGGTGGACATCTAAGAAAATGTGGAGGAGAAGAAGAGCAAGGTATTAAATGGAGAGGAGAGGAGTTATTGCCTCAGTTGAGTGTGATCAACTGTACACACACATACAAGACATTACGCACACACATGAAAAAAAAAGAAGCATTTCTCTAACTGAAAGGGAAAGAAACTGAAGACTGATGATGATGAAAATCAACCCTTTTTTATGTGTTACTGTGTGTGTGTGTGTGTGTGTGTGTGTGTGTGTGTGTGTGAGACACTGACCTCTGACTCGGGCATAGCAGCAGCCACACTTGGCCAGGACTTTACGGAACAAGTGTTGGCAGCCACAGCCTCGGTGGTGGCGATGGTGATGGTGGCCCCCTTTCATGCTGTTGAACCATGAGCAGAGGTGGGCATGGCCCGGCACTCTCTCTTTTTCCTACTTTCTCTCTCTCTCTCTCTGTCTCTCTCTCTCCCTCTCTCTCTCTCTCTCTCTCTCTCTGTCTCTCTCACCCTCACTTAAGTGGAGGTTCCTTCCTTAAAGTGTAAAATCCCCCCAAAAAGGTGACAGCTGATCCTCCTCCTCCTCCTCCTCCTCCTCCTCCTCAGTTGACTGCAGACAGAGTTAAAGCCCACATCCAGACGGAGAAGAAGAGAAAAGAGTCCACAAAAAGCAGCGGCAAAGAAGAAATCCACACTCACAGGGTGTTTTTGGGGTTTTTTTTTTTTCTTTCAGCTGGTGATAAACAGCCAAGGAAACATTCCAGCGAGCTTATCGTTATATTGAATGCACTCCCCTCTCTCTGTTTTCTTTTTGGTGCTCAGCTCTCGCCTCTGTGAACTGCCTGGTCAAATGACAGACTGGGAGACTGCTTCGGAGAGAGAGAGAGAGAGAGAGAGAGGGTGAGAGAGAGAAAGACAGAGAGAGAGAGAGTGATAGCGAGGGAGAGAGAGAAAGAGAAAGAGAGAGAGTAAGGGGAGGGGTGAGAAGGGTGGAGTCTGCAGCTCTAGTTGCTGGCTATTCCAGGATAAGGTTCCCACTCCCCTAATTTTCTCTCTTCCTGTTTCTCTCTCCTCTCTCTCTTCCCTCCTCTCAGCTGTTTTTCCTCTCCTCCCTTTGGTTTCCTCTTGCTCGTCTGCTGTCCCCCGTTTTGTCTCTTATCCTCTTTTCTACGTGGTTGAGTCTCATTTTGGCATGGGTAATGCTTACAGGGGCTCTTAGATATCCAAGTCCGAGTGCAGATTAAATGCCATGCTCTCTTGTGTCCACTCATAGCTGTCCCTGGAAATAGTAACCCCCAGGTCTGTAATGATACATAATGCTATTTACAGTGGAGAGGCCATGTTGGGTTGAAGGTGTCATGTATTTTCCAGTAAGGTGACCACAGCCTGTAAGAGTGTTACACTTTCTGAGGAGAGCGTGCATGTGTGTGTGTGTGTGTGTGTGTGTGTGTGTGTGTGTGTGTGTGTGTGTGTGTGTGTGTGTGTTCACTTCATGGATCACAGTGGGCTTTCCTGCCTGGGACAGCTCCAATATTGACTTCTATGTTAATTTATAATCATGGGGCGAGCAGAGTGAGCGTTTTTTTTTTTTTTTTTTTTTTTGTGTTTCCATGGAGTGAGCAGGCAGTCTCAAATTTCACAATGTTGGCATTCTTGGTGTGTGTGTGTGTGTGTGTGTGTGTGTGTGTGTGTGTGTGTAACAATAGTCATTTAGCCTGACAAACATAGTGGCGCAGTCTAACCAAAGAAATATGGGCTAAATTCTTTCAATCTAGATCACCTGAATCATATTTACTTTAAGCTCAGAGATTAAACTGAAATTGATCCTCTGAATGAATTTTCAGAGAGAAATAAAGATAGATGTTGTGATTGTGTGTTTTATATTGTGAAATATAAAATTGTTTTTGGACTCATCTTGTAAAATACATATCTGTAAATTCATGGTCATTGATTCAAAAATCCTGGAAACCCAGTACTTGAAATAAAGCAGACATATTCTCACAACAATGGCCAATATGGTACGGCCGATGGTAAACACAGCGTAGCGCAATGTCTGAAAGATTTCTAAGGTTTATATTGTCATACCGCCCAACTGTACTCTCAAACTCTGTGTAACGCAACAAGTGTTTTTTAGTTTCACTCATCAGTACCTTTCCTCAGACGTCTACTGTCAGTACCGCCATGTCTTGATCTTCTGGCTCTTGATCACAAAATTATGCGCGCGTGTGTGTGTGTGTGTGTGTGTGTGTGTGTGTGTGTGTGTGTGTGTGTATGTGTGTGTGTGTGTGAGTGTTCAGACAGCTCATAAATGGACATTTGTGTCTGGTACTAGACATGAGTGTGCATATGTTATGGAGGAGTTCTGTGTCTCGAGGTGAAAAAAGAGCACACACACACACAAACACACACACACACACACACACACACACACACACACACACACACACACAAACACACACACACACACACACACAAACACACAATCTCCCAGTCTACAAAAAGCTTTTCATCATCATGATTATGTCACTTTTTAGTTTTCTTTTCTTTTCAGTTTGATGAAGCTGGAAGCTGCAGAGCCCGAGCAGTTACCAACAGAGCAATACACACTGAGCATACCATATTTAGATGTGTGCTTTAGCCTACATCAGAGCACATTAGACTCAATTAACAATAGATTATGACTCATCAGCTGATGAAATCAGAGTCTGTTGAAATGTCAGCATGTAAAACAGAATTATTCAAGGAAACAACTGGAGATATAACTGGCACAAGAAGGAAAACAAAAATGGTTGGTGACAACGTTATTGTGAGAGATTACGTGTTCTGAGACCAATTATTTTCTGACCAACAAACAGCATTTCTTAGGCCTGAAGCTGCTGAGCTTATGACTCAGTGGGTGATCTCATCTCACTTTTGCAGGGCACATCACGCTATCCTCCCTTCACACAGGCTACAATCCGATTGTTTGGAAATCACCACCCGATCACTGCAACAAAGACGAGCAGCGTCACCGCATCCACTCACAGGTTCCTCTTTGGGGGCATCGACAGAAACAAGAGATGAGCGAGTATCGGCTGGCACTGAAAACCAACATGCATGCATTCACGTGAGCATGCACATCCCTGAGGTGCACTGTCAACGGTTGGCTGGCCTGTCTCTCCAGCATCCATCTCTCCACAGTGACAGGGTGGTGGCAGACTGCTGTCAGGATGTTTCTGTCGTCTAAAGGAGATAGTCAGAGCAAACAGAAGCCTGGCTGCCTCACCCATTAGCCACACAAGTAGAGTACATACACACACACACACACACACACACGCACACAGAGTTGCATTAGACCCTACTCTCTCACCATCTCTCTGTTTCTTTTTCCTCATTCACAAACATGCTGAAAAAACTAAAGCAGCTCTAAGATGTGAGAGAAGAAAGTTCTGTCTGAGAGAAACGACAGCGACAGATGTAATATCTATTCTCAGGTTGAGACAGCACACTGATTTGCCACATGCAACACTTACAATCTGCACACATACAGATAGATCGCATCCCCCCAACCCCCCCGCCTCCCCAACTCCTCCTCTCGCTGCAGGCCTCCCTACATCTCTCTCTTTGCTTATAATGGATGCTTTAAAGCGACTGTGATTGAAGGGGCAATTCAGCAGAGGAATATTGAACAGTGCTGCTGAATGTCTCCACTTGTCTGACGCTGATACGGCTGCTAAACACTGTGTGAGCACAGGAGCACAATTCAAAGTGGGTTGAGAAACAATGGATTTGACAGCAGAGCAGAAGGCTTACAAGAAACATGATAAAACGAAGACACCAAGACAAGAATCCGCGGGCAGAGCATTACAAATTGAGCGAACACTGCCTGCACTATCATTCTACACAAACACCGACTACACAGGGGAGAGATAATGAAGACTACATTGCTCTTGAGATGCATTCAAAATTCATGAAGTGAATGCAGGGAAATCTTTTCATGTGCTCTTAAGTTAGAAGATGCCAGTCTGTTTCTACAAGACACCCAGTAGGGGGGGTTTTTGTACTTGTTGCACAAGGCTGATTGTAAGTGCTGGTTCATCCAGTCCGTGGTGCTGCTTTGAAGTCACTGCAAACATGAAAGAAATAGTATTTTTTCTACCTTCATATAATCAATATTTTGAAAACATCTTATGGTGGATGAGGCTGACATTACTACAATGGACTGAATGGCCACATCTCAGATGACCTTACTTCTCTGTATTCAGCACCTACATTATCTCTCTCAGTATTGGATGAATCTTTTGAATAAATGAACACTGATATCGGCGCAGGAGACACGTACAAAGCCCTGAATGCTAACACAAATACGGACAGAATTCCTCCCCTAGCTTGAAAGGAGGAGCAGGGGATGTGAGGTGAGGCGTGCATTAACACCCATTCATCTCTCTCCTTTTATCTCTCTCCTTCACTCCTCCACTCCTACCCTCTCACACTTTCTCTCCATCTCCGATAAACACACACACACACACACACACACACACTAAAGATGATTCATCTGCACATGTATGTCTGTGCAGGTGTGGAGAAAGAGAGTAAAAATCTATACATGTACATTAACAGTGGGCTGTATTTAAAGGCTTGTCTGTAGATTAGCACGTTCGCAGACAAATGGCTGTGTTTTTCATCTGAGCCAAGCGAGCCAAACAGGGGGAATGTATCGTCTTTCCACTCTGTGTGGGAGACAGTCCGTCACATTTTAGGCAGGAGGCGTGTTCAGAGTGGAATCTCGAGAATGATTTATGAATGCAATTCAGCTCAAGCAAAAGAACACAAATTCCCAATGTTCTTTTGTAGTGACAGTGATGTTGTAAACACAAAACAAACTGCTGGAGCAGACTCATTCGAAATGCACGCGCACTTAAACTACAGAGGGAACGAGCAAATATACACAATTCGTATGACATAAGCATGCGTAGTAAAAGCTGCAGCAAGTCTCAGATCAGCAGATATGCAGTTGATTATTCGCTGTGTGTTCCCCAACCCCCCACTGACATTAGCCTCTCCTCACCCCAACAGCCAGCTGAAGTCCTGCCAAAATATGTTCACTTAGATTTCATTTTTCCTTCCTCCTTCTCCCTTGCTTTTTCTCCTTTAGTTCCTCTCTTTTGTCTTTTTTTTCCGCCCTTCATTTCTAAGCTGAACGCCAATTAAGGCAAACTGGCATTCTGGACAAGCCGATGTGAGGAGGAGGTTTTTGTTTTTTTGGCTGACATCCCATCATGGAGCAGGAGTCACAGACTAACTGTCCTGTTCTCTTCTCCTCTGTCGTGCTGGTCTGCAGAGAGCTGCTGTTTTTGTCCAATTAGACTAAACTACACTGCTGGCATACAGTGGGGAGATAGATGGGTGTGTTGCTCTGTATGTGTGTGTGTGTGTGAGTGCGTGTGTGTGCGTGCGTGTGTGTGTGTGTGTGTGTGTGTGTGCACTTCACCACTAGTACCACTCAGTACCTCCCACTGCTGTACCTCACCATGCAGTGCAGCTCTCAGGCAGCAGGAGCTCTGCACTACACAGAGGGGAAGTCCACCACCCGTGGAGACTTGTTTCTCAAAACATCCACAATACTCACGTACCACCCACAGTGACAAGCATACACACTTTGTACACGCAAAACATTCACACAAACTCATACTCCACCCCGCACCCCCCACCCCCCACCCCCCGTCTTTATCTCTCTGGAACTGGTCTGTGAGTCTTGCTCTAGAAGCAGCATGTTAGCACTGAGACTCTGGGACTGCTGACTTTGTTCAAGGCCTTAATCCTGAGCTAAAACGCCACCCAAAGGAGAAAATGTTAATTAAACGAAAGCAAACCCAGGGACCACACATGGAGAGACGCTGCTGCTTTATCTTTGATTACTTA